TGTAATTACTTGGGTCCATACTCAGAGAGAGAGAGAGAGAGAGAGAGGGGGGGGGGGAGAGACAGAGAGAGAGCGCATGCTCATATCAAATGATGGAAGAACCAAAATTTTATTCAAACCGAGGGAGACTCAAATTTTTAACGGTCATATTTCACCTTCTTTATGTATCTCTACTACATCCTTATCTTATTTTCCAATCTCCGTTTTAACTCATTAATAAGGTCAAAATATATGGCTCCACTAAAACTCAAATCAGTAACCATTAGCATCTTTGCCAGGGGTAGATGGATTTAGTTTTTTTAAATTTTGTCAATAAAATGTTATGTAGTTTTTGAACTTTGAAACAAATATAGAAATAACAAAAAAAAAAAAAAAATCAATTATATGGGATTATTTAAGGATTTTTTGATTGAATTTAAATCTGGAGGAGGAGGTAAAATGTGATGGAAATAGGGAGGAAAAGAGATTTGAGAAATGAAAATATGTTTTGGAGGGAAAGAAATAAAGAAAAGATAAGGGGGGAAAGAGTTTTGAAAGAAAAAAAAGTGGAAGAAATGAACTCTTTGGAGAGTACGAGAGTTTCTTAAAATATATGAGCAGAAAGTTGAGTTTGTCGATTGATGTGTATTGTATCAAGTCAAACTTTTACTCAAATTTGAGTTATGGCTGGAGACAGGCCTGAGAACTCAAGATTGTTGTCATGCTTTTTCCTTACCTTGTGAAGGTGAAGTGTGAAGATTCTAGGTGCATTTATATATTATCTTCTTCCAGTGTGGTGCTATTCATGGCTTACTTTTGAAAGTGCCAAATCAGCTCTTTGTTTTGTCCTCAAACTTCATGTAACAAGCCAAATTACTCCTTAAGCTGCTTTTTCTGCTCTGGGCCATTAATTTAACATCAAATTTCTTGCTTTTCAGAATATTCCAGCACACATGAAAAGAAATTCCTGCAACCATACACTTCAGGAATCATGCCAACTCTGTTCCATTGACAAAAGCCCCATCATTTTACATATACTTTGTAAAATTTCACCTGGAAACTTAACCAAAATATATCACAAAATCAACTTGAAAGCAATTTTCTATAGCTTGCTGACATCAAATTTTTACTTTGCACCTCTGTGTCATAGTTTATGGATCTTGTAGTGATAGCTGGGTTACAACTATATTATGTCAATGTAATTCAGCCTTTTGTGGCACCAAAGTGTTAAGCCTGAAATTGACAAAGTCTCGAGCAAGGATCTAAATTTCATTTCGAAACGCCCGAAACGTCCGAAACGTTTCCGTTTCCGAAGCGACTGAAACGAATCAGTGATGGAATCGAAATTATAATACTTTGAGGTGTTTCATAATGTTTTGAAGTATTTTGTAATGTTTCAATGCATTTTCAGAATTATTTTGGAATATTTCAGGATACTTTAATATATTTCGACTAATGTTTTGAAAACATAATTCTAAAATTTTTTTTTTCATTATGTTTTCAAAATAGATCGAAATATTTCCGAAACATGTCGAAACGTTTCTGTTTCCTAGGTGACCGAAACAATGCACCGAAACGAAATTTTGATCCTTGGTCTCGAGGGGCTATACCATCATCTTGGCTTGTCATCAGGCTTTATTTATTAGAAGCGGCTATCAGCAGAAGCAAGTTCTTTTTTTTTTTTTTTTGATACATTACTTTTCTCATTCCTCGCCTTTTAGGAAGACATTGGTTATTCTGGTGGTAAACTATCTCGCTGCCTAGCTTGAGAAATATGGATTTGACTCTGAGGACTGTCAATTTGCTGCATATAACACAAATGTCAGGTCTGTTCTCATCCACCTCTCCGATTTTCAATGAGGGGGACCAACATTTGGAAAGTGGCTTCAATTACTTCACTATTTTATACGAAGGATAGATAATGTTTGGAGAAGGCCAGGATTTGTTGACTAACTGTTTAAACATTCAATTCAAAACCTACTGAAAACTGGATATCAGAGCGAGTTGGTATAGAGCATAATCTGTGAGAGCATTTATGATAGATGTCTACATCATCAAGATCATGCCCATATGACCATCAATGCCCTGATTAATCTCATACTTAATCCATCTAGAAGCCAATCACAAACGAAGGCGCACAAAATCCTTCCGAACTCCATACGTAATAACCAACATCCAATCCATAATCTCCACCCCTCAAAATATACAATTCTCATATATTCCGATGTAGCATGTGTCAAATCCAAATTAATCCTATGGGAGCTTTATAGTTTTTCACTAAAAGGAACATGATGCCTTTCTTGTTTTTTTTAAGGAGAATTGATTGTGGCACTCGTGGTATCATACAGGCCACCATCAGGAGTTGATCCATTCAAGAAAATATAAACTCTTTTATGAAGAACCTAGGTCACACCATGCTAGGGCCTTGAACAATAGAAAAGCCTTGGAACTTACCTCTTTGTTGTCCTTGATCAATTCAACATCCTTAGAGCCAGGGAGGTGGGATAAGAGGTCATGGATCCATGATTCTTCTTAAGTCTTTTCATATAAATTTTACTTCAGTGTCTTGATTGTGATCCATCTTCTCCAATTTTTGAACCCCATAAGAAAATTTGGAAGGCTAAAGTGCAGACTAAGGTGCAGACTGTAGTTCATGGAAAGCTAAACACTTTGTGATTTGTTGCAAAAAAAGAATACCAAACTATTGTCTTTCTCCTCAATTGGTGCGTCATGTGTAAAAGATGTTGCGAAAGTGGGGACCATCTCTTTCTCCATTGACCAGTGGCCTTGAAGATGTGATATGGAGCTTTTGGTGAGTTGGATTATTTCAATGGGATGTGTTGCGTTATTGGAGACACATTATGGTATTTTTGATAAGAGAGATAAAGTGTTGATTTTGTACAGTTTTTTGGGTAGTGAGGATGGAAAGATATTAGAGAATATTTGAAGTTAAGGATAGAATAAAGTTCTTGGCCTCTTTGTGGGCGTCAACGAGTTTAAGGATGTGCCTTTGTTTGCAATAAATCCTGACTAAAGAGCGGCATGTTGTTAGATGACCACCTAGCACGGATACGGATACAGATACGATACGATACGGATATGGTAATACGATAAAACTTAAAAAAAGGATACAGGTACGGCTAGGATACGTCTATAATAAAATATATTTTATATTTTACTATTATTTAACGACTTAGAAGTTGCAATTTGTAATAATTTTTTAACAGTAGTAAGCAAAATTGAGAATTTTTACCANCACATTATGGTATTTTTGATAAGAGAGATAAAGTGTTGATTTTGTACAGTTTTTTGGGTAGTGAGGATGGAAAGATATTAGAGAATATTTGAAGTTAAGGATAGAATAAAGTTCTTGGCCTCTTTGTGGGCGTCAACGAGTTTAAGGATGTGCCTTTGTTTGCAATAAATCCTGACTAAAGAGCGACATATTGTTAGATGACCACCTAGCACGGATATAGATACAGATACGATACGATACGAATATGGTAATATGATAAAACTTAAAAAAATGATACAGGTACGGCTAGGATACGTCTATAATAAAATATATTTTATATTTTACTATTATTTAACGACTTAGAAATTGCAATTTGTAATAATTTTTTAACAGTAGTAAGCAAAATTGAGAATTTTTACCATTAAAAGGATGTAATATCGTCTTATTATGATTTATTCATAAAATGAGCATGATCAATTGAAGGAATTATAAGCACATTTAATTAGTTGGTGTGTTTACAAGTATTTATTTTTAAGATTATAGTTTAAGTGATTCATTTTTTAATACTCTCTTAACCTATAATAATAGATAATACTTAAAAAACACTCGTGTCTTCAAAATTAGATGGAATTTTATATTGTATGTGAGCTCCAAAGAAGGGGGTATTGCTTAAAATTGAAAATTGNTGTGTTTACAAGTATTTATTTTTAAGATTATAGTTTAAGTGATTCATTTTTTAATACTCTCTTAACATATAATAATAGATAATACTTAAAAAACACTCGTGTCTTCAAAATTAGATGAAATTTTATATTGTATGTGAGCTCCAAAGAAGGGGGTATTGCTTAAAATTGAAAATTGTACATCTTACTCCATGTTTAGAAGTATCTGCAAAATATCTTTCATATTTTATTAATTATCAGATACGGATGATGCGTATCCAATACGTATCATTGAGTATCGTATTCGATACGGGTAAGTCGATCTTGACGAAGTATTTGTGTTTCATAGATGACCACCCTTTGATTCGTTGATGCTTAAAATTTTTATGATGCATTTTTACTTTCTATTTTATTAACTCTTTATGTGGTGAATTCCTTATCCAATATAATGTACTTTTCATCTTATTTAATAAAAGTCTTTCATTTCTTATCCCAAAAAAAAAAAANGATACGTCGATCTTGACAAAATATCCGTGCTTCATAGCTCAAGACAGTAACAACCAGCGTGGTGGAAGTAATTCTCCAGAATCCCAAATCACCTGGATCGGCTTTGATCCCAAACAATTTGTTTGCTTGGGGTGGACGGGTCTAATCCCAGACAGACTACTGTACTGTACGGGTCTGGGCATCACAAAAGTCTATGTAAGTCCAAGGATAAATATGCACTGCACCTATATGATAAGGGGTCTTTAAAAATTTGTGGGGGCAGCTCCCCTGCATCTGCCATAGCATCCAAACAAAAAGAGCCTTGCTTGGATGTAATAATTGCAAATTCCATTCCACATGTGGATTTCAGCCGACAATCCCAGTAAATTGGAATCAAAACGTATACCCTACTTAGAGAATTTGCTAGTTTGCATTAAAGGGGTAAATAATAGAAGCACCTGCAGACAAGAATATCCTAGCAAACAAGCAATGTCATCTCAATTTCTCTCAACTAAAAACTTGATATCAATTCACACAACTACTTGATAAAATTATTGGACATTCAAATGTGAGAAAAACTTGGATGGACTAAAAGAAAAATTGCACTCATAATTGTTTGTAAGATAAAATCCGATAGATCAGCCATCCATGGGTAGCTCCCCACAGTTAACAACTCTGCATGGCAGACGAGGGATGTCTGACCTGCTAGTTTCTTGAGATTCAAGCTGCCGCACAACATCCATTCCATCAATGACATGTCCAAATACAACATGGCGATTGTCTAGCCATGGAGTCTACAAAATGTAAATTCAACTGTCATACACATACATCTCCTTAGGAGGGCAAAATGGTTTTTGTGGGCTTGGATTGTTAAATTATTGAAAGCATATGGTAATTAAATAGTTACCATGCATAATTAATGGTAAATCCAAGTGCAAAAAAGACTAGGAGCAAATTTCTAGTTATCCTTATGCAACAAGTCAACATAGTTTGGTATAGCTACCACAAAACTCATGGAATCTTATTCCCAATATTCTCTGTTCTACGCTCAAAATATAAGGTATGAAACCTCAGTTGATTGAGTGCATCCAATGAGGATCATTTCACATGTGGCTTTTTTAGGGGGTGTTCGAATGTTAGTGTTCTTCAACCTGAATGTGAGTGTCCTCACCTTCAGGTAAGGTTTCACAATGATCAGAGTAAACAAAACAGCGTTTGGCTGTCAATGTACGTTGACTAAAATATGAGGCTAAACTTTAACATGTTAGGCGTAACTACAGTTACAGGTATATCAAGTGAGGTAGATCCAGCCATGAAGCTACCAAGTCTTGCTTTTTTGTGCTTCTTTACTGCTGGGGTTGCACACTTCTTGGTACCTCATACAACAACAAACAAAAAATAAAAGGAAAAAGAAAAAAAACAACTGATATCTTACAGTAGCATCATTAGCCTCATGCATTTCTCGTCTAATACTACTTCAATATATATCTTGTGTGGTCGTTGAGAGTGCAACAGGAAAGGACAGAGTTCATCAATTTTGGCACTAGAACAATGAAAATTAGTATATGCAAAGGACTGACCCAAAATCATAATGCAACTTCACCTACAATGTCAAGCAAATACTTGGTACATTTTTTATTCTGCTCAGCAAAATTTCGATTGCTTTGTCCATAACGATCTTCAATATTGATGAATATTGCCCATCTACTCATTTTAAATCTCATTCCTGATGTAACTATATCCCATTATGAATTAGTTCTTCATTTAAAAGATAAATAACCTCAAACAGGAAGATTTGATCATCCTTTTCTCCTACAACCACATTCACAAAAGATAAACCGATTCTATGTCATCAATGTTATTGAAAAAATATGTGCACCAAATCATAGCAATGATGTCTCGCAAGTAAGATTACTGGAGATATTTATAATGACACATGAAAAAGAAGATGGCCAATTTGGCAATAGAAAAGGTAACGGATGCAGCTATCGCACCTTCACCGTGCAAATGAAAAATTGACTGCCATTGGTATTAGGGCCTGCATTGGCCATACTCAAAACTCCAGGTCCAACATGCTTCACTGCAAATATTACAGTAGAATATCAGCAAATTAGAAATCACTTAATTGCACATTTAAAAGTTGAGGAATGATGATAATGACGCCAGAGTAAATTTCAAGACCCTGTTGTGAAACCACCCCACTCTCATTTAGAGTAAAGGAAACACTCACAGGCAAAGCTCTCGTCTTCAAAACTAGGACCATAAATACTGATTCCTCCAGTACCCTGCAGCCCATGAACACCACAGATTTTTGCCACAAATGTCATTCACATGCAAAAGCATCTAGCAACTTGGCTACTCTCATAGCAAAATTGAGAGAGAGAGAGAGGGAGAGAGAGAGAGCTCACATCTCCTTCAGTGAAGTCCCCTCCCTGGATCATAAAATCTTTAATAATACGGTGGAAGGAGCATCCTTTGTAACCATATCCTTTCTCTCCTGCAAGTAATTTTTCCTAATTGAATTATTAAAACTACGACACAGCTTTGTCAGTAATACAACAATCATAATTTTTAACATCCCTTTAGAAGTGAACTGAATTAAAATGTCCAACTATCAACAAGTATCTTGAAATTGATATCATCTATGTGTTGTCAACTTTGCACAAGTGTAACAAATAAAACAAAAAAAAAAATGCAGAGGGAAACAAGAATAAATCAAAGCTGATTTTCACATTAACATAGATATTAATATCACCATAACTATCTTCAATTTTTTTGTCCATCTCTCGAATTACAATCTTTCCTTCAATATCGGCATTTCCTTTCTTAATAGGTACTATTTTTAATTATTATGCTTGTGAAAAACAACAAGAACGATATAACAACAATAACCATGATTCCATAAAAAAATGGACTAATTATCACAGCACAGCTTGCCTGTGCACAAGACACGAAAGTTCTCAACAGTCTTTGGGACAGCATCTCCAAAAAGACCGATTAAAATTCTACCCACAGCTTCACCCCCAATTTCTACATCAAAGAAGCACTTTGTCGTCACTTTAGCTTGCAGCACTAGCTCCTGGCGTAAAAGAAAATAAATGATTAAAAAATTCCCATTATATATTAAAACCAAAACATATATCAAGTACGAAACATATATACATATGCACACAGATATCGTGAGAAAGCAAAGCAAATAATAGTGCTTGTGTTGACATGTTTTGAGGATGCAGTATTGCAGTTGCTGCATGACATTTTAAGGTGCTTCAGAGCTAATCTATAAAACAATAGTCTCCCAAACCTATTCTTTTAAAAAGGATTCAGCCATGAACGTCCAAAATATCCTACCAAACCCTCGTCACCAATCAAAGAGTCATTCAGACAGTGAAAGAAATCTGTTCAGCAGCACAAACATGTGTCAAGAGAGAGGGCTGGCAGGGGCCATGGTCCCTTGAGCTCATGAGGAAGGCCATTTTTCTTACTGGTTTTTAGTGATAGTTGCATAAAANCTGGCAGGGGCCATGGTCCCTTGAGCTCATGAGGAAGGCCATTTTTCTTACTGGTTTTTAGTGATAGTTGCATAAAACATGCAAGTGCTAACACACCCAGACGCATGTTGTCCTATTAGAAGTAAGGATAATGTTAAATTTACACACGGAAACCTAAAGAGTTGAAACACTCATCAAACCTGTGCACATGTGCAGTTAATTAATTTTTTAACTAACCACACGAAACACAGTATTGTCATCATTATTTGGATTTGGCTGCATACATTCTCTTTTACCATTTTGCTTAGTCAAGAATGGTTACCATGTAACTGGTCCACATCTTGGACTTTTTCATGCCTGTCAAAGCATCTTCTCAATTCTCTTTTGATTTGTATGCAATTGGTGCCATGCTTACAACTCACAGATCTATTCGTTTCCAATTATTGATTACAAAGTCCTTCGATTTCTTTGCTCATCAATTGTCTGATTCGNCTTACAACTCACAGATCTATTCGTTTCCAATTATTGATTACAAAGTCCTTCGATTTCTTTGCTCATCAATTGTCTGATTCGTAACATTCTCAAGAATTTGCATGGATATTGATCCATCGATTTATAAATTTCTATTGAGCAGATAGTTACTTTTATCAAATTACATGTTCCAAATTATATGATAATCTAACACTACATAGAATATCATAAAATGGTCAACTATTTATTCAATTAATAAAATATGAAGACTACTGGCTTCTGATGAATATCTTCATGCTCCCTCTCATATGTTATGCCATTTAAAATATTTCTTGTAATGGTGCTGTTCCAACCCCACCCCCTCCCCAAAGTATTAAGTCTTGAATAGTTCAAAACCAATTGACAATAAGTGGAGAAGCTCTTTAAACATATAAATCAACTTTGGGTAACCAATGTAGGATATAAGCTCTATTTACACTCAAGTGCAACCGGGGCTCACACGTGAAGCTAACAAATGAAAAGACAAACATCCATATCGGGAAACACAAATGGATAGGAGGCTTGGTCCAAAAACCATACAAGGCTCAGCTCTGATATCATGTTAGAACATCTAACTCAAAACCAATTGATCATGAGTGGAGAGGTCTCTTAAACATACAAACTAACCTTGGGTGGCCCTACTTACTCAATAAGGGCTACAAGGAGTCTTTAGATTTCCACTGCATGCTAGAACATACGATTACACAAGGGTTAAACATATTTACTCCAAAACTGTACCTGTTTGAGTCTTGGTTCGTTGAAAATGAGACATTGTCATGGGGAGTGTAGAGAATTTCAAGACAAAACTAAACAGGATTAACACCATGCAGCTGAGAACCTTACCCAAAGAATTCACGCGAGTCTACTTATCTGAGAATCCATCTCCCGCTTTAGAGATACCAAAAGCAAAGTGATCAGCAAGAAACTTACACTGGCCATGGAGTTGATGCACTTCACTATTTGATATCCAACTAAAGGTGCTCTGAAATGTGGAATGGCAGAAAGACACGATGCATAGTGAGATCTTGAGGTCAAAGCCGTTTTGGAATAGCTTGAAGTTGCAACCCGGGAACTATTGGGCAGCAAATTTGTCAATCCAGCAATCTTAAGTGGCTTATACGCATGTGAAACTTCATGGCTAAAACTACCCTGGAAAATAAAACTATCCATATATCACAAGGCATGTCATTATAACACAAACCAACAGCTCGAAGATTGAAGAATAACAGAGCAAAAGCTATTATTATCTCAAGAATTCCCCCATCACAAGCAAGGCACGGTCAAGAATATTCAGACGTTTATGAAAAGATAGTATAGGCGTAGCAGTTAGAATGATATGTTGAACAATGGGTGCAACAGTATAAGAGTGAGCATTATGCAATAACCTTAGTAGTAGTTAGGGGAAAGAAAAACTGACAATCTGATAGTAGTTTGTTTTCTTCGAGTGTATGACTACTATTGATGTTTCATTCTCTACTCTCTAAGCACATAGCCATGGTTAACAGAGGTCAATGAAAAAACTTAAAATAACGATGTGCAAATACATGATGCCAACAGTTCATGACAATTCAAAATTGGGAAATTAATATAATGAAGAACATCATAACACAAAGGAGAAAATAGAGAAACTCTAATAGTGAGGCATCACACAAATAATACAGGGCTAAGAACCTCGAGCTTTTTTTTTTTTAAAGATTAGAAAACCCAAACTACCCTGAACGGCGTGAATGATTGAGATAGGGCTCAGGAAAGTAGAGGAAGGAGAAGCAGTCCTCAATAAAAAGCTTCTAATACTTGTACAAGAAAGAAGGCTGACCTGGACAGCAGAGCAGGAGCGATAGTGAGACACCACTTGCGCAGGCAATGCAGAGGCCATAGCTATTGCTACTGTGTGTGTTAGAGGACACACCCTCTCCTCTTCGAGGTTGATTTGGTATGGTTTTCTTTCTGAGGGAGATTTCTCTCTCTCCGTGTGGAGTGAAGTTACTTCTTGTTAAGGTTGTAAATTCAGATAAGACTCTGCACTTTTCAGACGGGAAAAATAGAAGCTATTATCGTCGGCGAGTGGGCTACTGGCTAACATGCACCATATGCGCAGGGAATTGGCCCTCGTTTTCTCCGACCGGTGTCTAGTTTTGAGTGCAATGACTTATATGCAAAGGTGGAGACGATCCTCGATTCATGTGAGACGAAGTTCTTGCGAACACTGGAAGTTGCCTGCACGGGTTAATCCAGGTCAAGTCGAAATTCTTAATAGAGGGTTTTACCCCTTACAAAAAAGGCGTCTTTCTGTAAGGGATAGAACCCTCTACTAAAGATTTCGATTTGACCTGGGTTAATCCACGCGGGCGACCTCTCAGTAGTCTTTACCTCTCAATACTTGCAGGAGTTTTGTCCCACATCGACTGAGAGTCGTCTACCCCCTCGCTTATAAGCCCTTGCACTTAAAGGAGGAAGTACCCACTAGTGACCTGAACAGGTGCCTAGTGGATACCTCCTCCTTTGGGTGCAAGAGTTTATATGCGAGGGGGAAAGACGACTCTTAGTCGATGTGAGACGAAGCTCCTGCATTCTTATAATGCTTAAGTCAGTGTCGGTGTGTTATGGTGGATGATCGATTTGAATTTCTTAGAACATACTTGGAGACTTAAGTTATGTACATTTTCAGGGAATGTTGTTGTGGACTATCATAATTGGNGGGGAAAGAAAAACTGACAATCTGATAGTATTTTGTTTTCTTCGAGTGTATGACTACTATTGATGTTTCATTCTCTACTCTCTAAGCACATAGCCATGGTTAACAGAGGTCAATGAAAAAACTTAAAATAACGATGTGCAAATACATGATGCCAACAGTTCATGACAATTCAAAATTGGGAAATTAATATAATGAAGAACATCATAACACAAAGGAGAAAATAGAGAAACTCTAATAGTGAGGCATCACACAAGTAATACAGGGCTAAGAACCTCGAGCTTTTTTTTTTTTAAAGATTAGAAAACCCAAACTACCCTGAACGGCGTGAATGATTGAGATAGGGCTCAGGAAAGTAGAGGAAGGAGAAGCAGTCCTCAATAAAAAGCTTCTAATACTTGTACAAGAAAGAAGGCTGACCTGGACAGCAGAGCAGGAGCGATAGTGAGACACCACTTGCGCAGGCAATGCAGAGGCCATAGCTATTGCTACTGTGTGTGTTAGAGGACACACCCTCTCCTCTTCGAGGTTGATTTGGTATGGTTTTCTTTCTGAGGGAGATTTCTCTCTCTCCGTGTGGAGTGAAGTTACTTCTTGTTAAGGTTGTAAATTCAGATAAGACTCTGCACTTTTCAGACGGGAAAAATAGAAGCTATTATCGTCGGCGAGTGGGCTACTGGCTAACATGCACCATATGCGCAGGGAATTGGCCCTCGTTTTCTCCGACCGGTGTCTAGTTTTGAGTGCAATGACTTATATGCAAAGGTGGAGACGATCCTCGATTCATGTGAGACGAAGTTCTTGCGAACACTGGAAGTTGCCTGCACGGGTTAATCCAGGTCAAGTCGAAATTCTTAATAGAGGGTTTTACCCCTTACAAAAAAGGCGTCTTTCTGTAAGGGATAGAACCCTCTACTAAAGATTTCGATTTGACCTGGGTTAATCCACGCGGGCGACCTCTCAGTAGTCTTTACCTCTCAATACTTGCAGGAGTTTTGTCCCACATCGACTGAGAGTCGTCTACCCCCTCGCTTATAAGCCCTTGCACTTAAAGGAGGAAGTACCCACTAGTGACCTGAACAGGTGCCTAGTGGATACCTCCTCCTTTGGGTGCAAGAGTTTATATGCGAGGGGGAAAGACGACTCTTAGTCGATGTGAGACGAAGCTCCTGCATTCTTATAATGCTTAAGTCAGTGTCGGTGTGTTAGGGTGGATGATCGATTTGAATTTCTTAGAACATACTTGGAGACTTAAGTTATGTACATTTTCAGGGAATGTTGTTGTGGACTATCATAATTGAAAATCTCTCACAACAAGGTTTTTACTTTCCAAGTGGAGTCCCTTGATCAGTCCTTTTGGACGATGGGCACTACATGTTAGTGTGTGTCTCACTAGAGAATGTTTCATCTCTGACATAAGGTGGCCATCTATCATGTTTTTAATTGGCTCAAGGGAGGCTTGTGCTGTATTTGTTTCTCTAAGCAAACTCGACAACAGGGCTCAGTCATTTAGGGTTGCTAGGGGTCAACACCTGAATGATGTCCCGATCAGGGCTTACTTTGGTTGGTCCATACATGTGTCAAAATTGACACAATGTCACTCTTCTTCTAGGATTGGTTTTGTAGTCCACGAGGGGTCGATTAAGGCGGTGATCTTTGCCAGCTATCCCATCTGCCAAATTATGGATGTCAATGGTTATATGAAAATAAGGATAAAAGGACGTCATAAGGTGAGTTCGCGCCCGAGTCCATACCTGACTTGGGATCACCCCTTGTAGTCTTTTTTAATGTCCGGTTCTTGGGGAGGATGTACATCGAGATTGACATGTCCAGTGGTCATGCCCCTAATCCAGGACAAGTGTCCAGCTGGGACTGGTCCATCAAATAATGTGTTGTCAATTGTCCCCCAACATTCGATTGCATCAGGCTAGGGTCCACATGGCTTGAGGGGGTCCAAGGCTTACTCCTAACATTGGTTCTTCGGAACCGTTATGTCAAGTTTAGGACCAGAGGTTGGCAATTTCATGACTTGTGTAATAGCTCTAGGATGGTTTAACGAAGACACCATGCGAAGAAGTTATTGATACAAACGTCAAGACTTGAAGCTTCCCGACATCAACAAATAAGGAAAAAAGACATTTCGCCTCGTGTTGCTCGATGCACTTTGACATTCTAAAAAGCAATGTTAACAAAATCGGATTGGACATCGAATTAACAAAGAAACCGGGTCAATGGTTCATTAATTCAACTGGTCAGCCTGATCTTATAATAAAAAAAATTATAAAATATAATAATTTAGCCAAAAAATATAAAATATATTCACGATACATGCAAATATTCGTACCAACCATAAAATCCACAATCACAATAAAAATAAAATCCACAAAATAGTATTCCAAATTCCTAGTTTAGAGATTTTATTTAATTTGGGGGTGTGTTTGATAATTACTTACTTTCTAACCCTACACTAACTGTGCATTTATGTTTGTATCATAAACGGGAGCAGCTTGAACAACACCTTGCACATCCCTCTCTTTCACAATTACACAACTTTCAATCTTCAGTTAATCCATTTCAAGTGTTTGATCAATCAGGTGGTTTGTAGCTTCAGCACATAATATCACTGGTTCAAGCCTCGTGAGGAGACGAAGAGTAGAGATGATAAATCAGCCTCGGACCATTGAAAAAGCCATAGAAGAACTAGACAGAGTGGTTGGAAAAGAGAGACTAGTTGGTGGCTGGTGATTGATCGCTGATTGCTGAGAGTGAGTGGTAGCTGGTCGCCTGAAATGTGAAAAGTGGATGGGATCTGCTTTGGATTTAGGGCAAATGACCCAAAAAAAGGTTTATTTATTTATTATTTTTAAATATGTGCTTGAAATTTCAACCCGTCGGTTTTTCCAAACCGTCTCGTTCCCGAGTTTGATCTAAAATCGGCCGGTTCACCGATTCCCGAGCGGTTTCTTTCCTTATGCAGTCTAACAAGAGAACCGGACCGTTTTAAGTACGGGTTCAAGGTTCAACCGGCCGGTCTGATCTGATTTTAATAACTCTGCCAAGAAGACTTCAAGGTCATAGGAAGTCATGCTTAAGTCAATTAAGACACATTCAAATATGCAGCACTAGTNGTCTGATTTTAATAACTCTGCCGAGAAGACTTCAAGGTCATAGGAAGTCATGCTTAAGTCAATTAAGACACATTCAAATATGCAGCACTAGTCAAGGTCCATCATGACTTTTGAAGGGATTGAAACAGAAGAGACCTCCTACCCTACAAGGTCCACTGTGACTTTTGCAACGATTAAAAAGGTTTGATAGTATTTGGATGACAATGGTTTCAACCAAGCTACCCGCATTTTTTTAAACTATACTCTTGACTATCACAAGCGTTCAACTTCCTATTTNGGTTTGATAGTATTTGGATGACAATGGTTTCAACCAAGCTACCCGCATTTTTTTAAAGTATACTCTTGACTATCACAAGTGTTCAACTTCCTATTCCCTATAACCTTGAGTTTTGCAGTGAGTCTTTCGAGGAAGGGGAAGAGGAAGAGGAAAAGGAGGTAGAGAGTCAATAGGACTCAAAATGCATTGACTCCGGTAACGAGCTATTGAAACATCAAGTGATAAGGCTATGGATAAGTAACAAACCAATGGGGATCAAACTCAATCATGATATCTGTTAGATCACCAAAGATACGTAGTTAATAGAATTTTATATTCAAATCATGTATATAAATTAGAATTATCATTATCTCCGTTGTAAAAGAAGTTACCTATAAATACAAAAATAAAATCTCAACCAAAGTTAGGGTGAGGAAATCCAACTCTAATAGCATTATGTTTAACTCTTTTATAGTATCAGAGCTTTCATTGACACACGTCTAAATGACTAGTAGTTCATCATCTTCAATTTCTTCAACCACTACTTCAAACCCTCCCACATTTAACCTCATAAACCTGAATCATCTTTTTCCCATAAATTTAAACCGTGACAACTACTTATTATGGAAAGCACAAGTAGTTCCATATTTTAGAGGTCAATATCTCTTCGGTTATCTTGATGGAACCACACCCATTCCTTATTAGTCTATTTTGAATTCTTTATCTCAAGATGGTGGGTCCAACATAATCAGCAATCTAGACTATCCATTCTGGTTGCAACAAGATCAAATTATTCT